TCAAAGTAAGTCGAGAAGTTGAAGCGGAAAATGATGTTTATTAGAGTCACACCTCCTTCGATTCATTAACTATAGCTCAGCTGAAGTCTGATGAGCTTTCTACTAATGAGTCATTCATAAAAATGGTTTGTTTATTTTTACGTCAACTCAGGACGGTGAAAATTAGAAATAATAATAATATTCAATTGTGTTTTTCACACTCTGTCGCTTTTATACTTGAATGCTACGATGAAAAGTTAAAAGGAAAATAATATTATGTCATGTTTATTTGTCAAAATTAATTGTCCTGCTATAGCACAATAAATAGATTATACTATTATTCTTCCTTAGGTTGGTCCTGAATATGGGCACTAAGTAAAGACGAATCTCAGACTGTTTTCTTAAATGCGAATGCAATAACTTCATATTACTTTATTAAATCGATGTGGAAAACAGTAGATAAGCAAAAATAAATACTGAGATTATAGAAAACTGCCGAGATTATGGATTACTTATCCTTGTAGAATAAAAGGAAATATATAGTACTTAAAAAATTGAAACTTAGCAAAAGATAAATTAATCTTTCTCGTTCTATCATGCCTTTAGCTGTTTGTTAAAAAGTTCTTCTTTTGTTAAATTAGTTATCTTGAAAAGAAAGTAGCCATACGTTCACACGGTTAGAAGTGCTAAGAAAATCAGAATGAATTTCCTCTACAGGGTGATTGAAGGCTCCCGAGTAAATTTGAAACGAAAACTGAGCAGATTTTCAGGTTTATAAGTTACAAGTGAAATATATGCAATAAAATGACTCTTTTGACAATAGTTTTAAAAAGATTATATTTTCACTCTGCATCTACGTAGTTTCATCTAGAAAAGTTCTGTTTGTAAGGATAAACCATCCTCCCTAAATTCTCTCTCTCTTTCTGTATGCGGAGACCTGCGTGCGCACTCCCTCAAAAATTTAAAAGAACAAGGTAATTACTGAGTAACTATGCAAAAAACAGAGTTTACACCACCTCGAACGTGAAATTTAAAATAAAGTTTACACTATCTCGGACAAAAAACTTTCGTTACATCCCCCCAATGTCCGGTACCTACTCAGGTCCCTGTCTGTATATATATAATACATATTTGTAGAGTATACAGCAGAGCTTCGTATGGACTCTAAATTCTAAGTCCAGTACAATCCGGGTCCATGAAAAACAGTTTTTTTGGTCCGTGGACTGTAAAAAGTAGTTCATTCCAGTCCTCGACACAAAAAACAATGTTTTTTTACTGATTATTCCTCAACTCAAGTGAGTCCAAAACTTTTTTTCGAGTCCACAACAGTCCGTGGTCTTGAAAGTTTGAGTCCAGTCCGAGTCCATGAGCTCAAAAAATTTCTAGTCCAGATGGAGCTCTGGTATACAGTACTCCCAGACGCTGCGAACATAAATGGATTTCTCAACAAATAAATAAATACATGTACAGTAGCTCATGTGTAGTGTGAGTAGCTGATAATAAAAGGCCCTTCCGGAGCCAAAGAAATACATTCTGAAGAAAGAAGTTGGTTAGACAGAACAAAATTATTATACTGTTCTCCTATCTGAAGGCCATTCAGGTTAGATTCAAAATTACCTATATTGCTCCTTTACCATATGTAAAAAAATATTTTTCTTCATTCCTCTTCCTATCCTTCGTTGCTCAGCTATTCTTACCTGTATTTTAAGTGTAGTTTAGAAGGCTATTCATAACGTGTACTGAAATTAGAGGAGTACAGAAGAAGAAAGTAAGTATTTCAGTGATGATCATCTCACTCTTTCTTACAATATCACTGTTCAAAATAAAGTCTTATAGTTTCTTTTTTACTCACAGAGAAACTTTAGAAGATAATGAGTGTCAATCTTTAGGGTTACGCATGTAGAATTATAACGATGTGTTTGTCTGCGAGACAGTATAGAGCTGATGAAAAAATTTATGAAAACTAATAAATAAATTTATTAATAATATTTATAAATATCGTTGATTGCGCGCGTCTAGTTTCTTCTTTAAATTGATGATCATCCACTGTAGAACTGAAAAATAACGAACAAATAGGTGTTGGAAAAGAGGGCGTCAAAGGAGAAAGAAATCATGTTTCTAGATCTTCTCTTTCTCAACATCTATTTGTTTATTCTATTGCGTTTCTACAGTGGATGATCACCAATTAAAAAAAGACACTAGAAACACTCAATTATCGAAAGTTCTAAATACTATAAATAAATTTATTTACCAGATTTCAGTTCGCTTTTTTATTCACTCTGTACTTTGGCTTTTGTCGCGGATGGCCCAAGGGTAAAAAAAATCGGACTAAAAACGCGTTTTTTTTTTCGTTTTCAATGGTAAAAAAGCGCGTTAAATGTTTGAAAACCAACGCGGTCTTTTGGTTGTTTTAACGGGTTTCTTCTATAAAATTTCGTTAAAAAATGAGTTACATATCAACTTCTAGGGTTTTTTTTCTTGAGGTGTTGCCAACTTGAGACCAGTGCGGTTTTGTAGCCATGGTCGACTGAGTGGATCGGCATTAGTTTGGCTCCGACGTATAGCCGATTCACACTTGAAACAAGCAGTGTAAACGAATTGCTTCAAATATTATATCACAGAGGCTATTGTGTACATCTACCAGAAATCAAATATAATTCATATGAAATGAATTCTGTATACAAAATAAGTACAATATAAATCTGTTATAGAAGATAAACATAGAGTAGAATATGTAAGATGTAAACAACTCTGGCAAAGTCAAATAATACATGATACTACTGAAATTCTATAACAAGCTCGTCGAAAAGAAAATATGATAGATGTGACTTACGATTTTAGCTTTTATCAGTGAGAGTTTGAAGGAAATCGAGATGGTCAATAAAGAAACGCGCAGTCATCAAAATCTACTGACTAGTTTCCTAAGCAGTTGCTCTGCTACTATTTATACAACGTATACAGTACGAATTCGTGTTTGTAAGCTAAATACGAAACCATTGGTCGAACCACACGTCGTGAAAACAACTAAATGATGTAGAACGTAAACATGCTTTTGAAAGAAAAAATGTTTCTGTAACAAATCAGATAGTACTAACTTGTTTCGGTTAAATTTGGAAAACAAAAAAACCTTTATTTATTATTTTCGTTTTCCAAATATGCTATTTTTTGTTCAAACACATCGTTTGAAGAGATGAAAATAAAATCTTCATTTAGAGTTCAAAAAAACACATTTAGGCATTGAATTGAAATAGAGTCTAACTGATATGTCACATTTTTTTCGATGTCAACCGTCTGCAGTTTATAAAACACATAGACGTACATGTCCTATATATGATGTTGAGTACGTCATGAAGTTATCCATTCCAAAGAATGATGTTGTTATCTTTTCCAAATTATTCGTACAATATAACACGGAAACAGTTGTTGAGGATGATGAGGTTGATTTAGATGATATAAAATACTTTGTTTTCGTCAGCAGATCATTACAATACGTTTTCAAATCATACGAAAAGCGCGGCGAATCTGCGTTTGTGATAGCTTGTCGAAGTAATTTGAACGTATTTCGAATTTCTGGAGCATAATTATCAGTTCCATTCACGATATTTCGAATTAAACCCAGAATACCTTCAAAGTTGAATGTGGAATAATTCGACATTTGAGGAAACTTTGAAACAGATAGATGTACGTATTTGCAACTATCATTGCTGTTTGTGCATCGCCGTATAAATTGGAAAACGTATTCACGAATTCGCTCAATAAAGATTCAATATGCTTAACATCATCTGGTTCAATTTGACGATTATTTGCCAAATGATAAGCATGTACAAGGAGCAGAAAATGTTGATAAATTTTATTTAATAATATTTTATAGAAAGCTTGAAAACTGAATAACAATATAATTTTGTATTCGCATCCTGAAAAAAACCAATAGATGACATTAAGAAGAGAAATAAAAATAAAATCAATGAGTATCGGATGAAACTTCGTAAGCGTGTATCCAGACACCTGAGAGAATCATATTTTCTAATCCTTTTCAGATTATGCAGCACTCCAAATATTCGTCAGAATGCCGACGTAGTTAATTATACATTCGATTCTCATCAAGTCATAATTTAATCACAGCGATTTGTAGACAATAAAATTTAATGACGTATTCAACACAATATAATGAACATGTAAGGCTATAAACCAGAAACGACTAATCACTCTGACAGAGTCTAGAAACTGAAATACTAATATGAAACTTTGTTTTGAGAGAGTCACGTCACCTTTTTAAGCTTACGAGGGAACATATTCAAGTGTGACCCCTAGTTTTCCTTGAAGCATAGCAGATTATGAGTAATTTTTTATGCTGATCACGAATCTGACATCCGTTTCTACCGTCAGATCTTCCTCAGATGGGTTTCTGAAGCCAGAGTCTCCAAAGACCCATTCAACATGGATCTGATAGCAGAAACGGATGTCAGATTCGTGATCAGCATAAAAAATTACTCATAATCGGCTGTGTTTCAAGGAAAACTAGAAGTCGCATTTGGATATGTTCCCTCGTAAGCTTCTTCCGAACTTTCTTCTTTTTCTTCATCACTAAATCAAGAATACTACTATCATATGTTCCATTAGTCCGCAACACTTCTTGTTCGTCGCCCGACTAAAATACTCGAATATTATTTTGTTGTCCCATTCGTCTGTTCATCTTATCTGCTTTAATTTTCTTTCCTTGTATCAAACAATTGGTACATCCGTATTCAGTATTAAATGCAGTCACATTTCCCTCAAGAGCCTACCAGAACGAAAAGAAACCATGATTGCATAAAGTATCTAAGGTTATTTTCTTAAAACCCGTTTTAAAATGATGCAGAAGACACAGGTGTGTTCGATGCCAAAATAGCAAAAGTATGCAACGAAAGAAAATTCAAATGAGTGAATAACAAGGAAAAAAAGTAAACGCCTTGACCAGCACCAGTCATGCACTATTCCTGACATAGGCATTACTGATGTTTCTTACCTAAGCAGGCTTATCGTTATAAACTACAGATCAAGGATGATTTCAACGGTAATAGGCTGTCACTAGATTTTACATAATAATCAACGGCTTCTTCCAAATCTACAAGCTCATCAACTACAATGGATAACGTTGTTTGTAATTCAGGGTTTGTTGGTTTTCTCGGTCCAGGCCAAATACCTGGAATGATTATATTTCGTAACTGAAAACGAACGTTTTCTGAAATCTCGTTGATTATCATTAAAAATATCCATAATGATTGATCCGAGCTGTCTGATAACGATATTCGATCAACATTCAACACAAACGTAATAAAATCATCATTTTCTAACGACAGGATATGTTGATATAAATCGCCATCATCACTGATATCGATCATATAGCTATTTTTTTGAGGTCTAATATTTAATTGTACATTAAGATTTCGCAGAATATGCTCGATTTGATGACGTACACAAAATTTGGAAAAACTCGAAGGAGGTTTTTCAAATAAATCATTCTCGTGACACGTTTCACTGGCGCAACTTTCACTGTGTTTCGAGGTGTGATAACAACTTGTACAAATATAGTAAGTTTCGGTATCGAGTTCATTAGTCATATCTTGTTCGATTGTGTACTTCACTACCTGATAACTTAGTGAAGTATTTGAAACTCGATAATTACTCATTAAACGACCGATATCAGTTACGCGTGATCTTGTTAATCTATGTCGTACTTTCAGCAGCATTAAGCTGGCGGACAGTACCGATTTTGTAAATGGAAAACTGTTATATTGATCTTCATGTTTTGGATACCTCAAAATTCACATACGTTAATAGTTTATGAACAAGAGGACTATGAAAACTGTATAAACTTAATTAATTTGATGTATAAACAGCTGCGTTTGGCTTTTGGTCCCGTAAAATTCTTTTTTTGTTGTCTCCTAGATCTCTGGTCCACTATTGACGAGTAAAAAACAATAAAGACAGAAAAGGATAGGTTTTCGAAATATTTTGGAGAAAAAAGTCATCTATTTTAAAGATTTTAGACTGTCTAAAATCTTTAAAATAGATGACTTTTTTCTTGTCTAAATTAGACAATACGAAAGTTTTCACTCTAAAATCCAAATAATTTGATTTTCGAACAATACTGTACTCTTTCTGTACAGTATTGTTTCCTTCTTTTCTATGTTATGCATGTTTATTCGATGAATGAGATAAACGAAATTTTTATCTTCGAATAAAACTGGTTATTGCAATCTATATATCATATTGTAGATCTTATTGTCAATTTATTTCCAATCAAGGTTTATGTCAAATTAACGATACTTCACTGGTATCCGTATGCTTAGCGTTAATAACTTGAGTGGATTTCTCTCTTCCTCCCTGGTACATTTTTCTGCAAGTTTATCCTTCTTAGAAGCGAAGGGGAGAAGGCTTTGTGACTTCCTGTTATTTCCCAAAACGTCCTACCCTCTTGTTCCGCAGGATATTGACAGGACGCGGTGAATCGTGCATATCTCTGAACCTTAACCTTACTAGTTACTTAACGCTGTCCAGAAGAGCGGAGACCAGCTGACCGGTCTGCAAAAAAATCTTCGTAATCATTCCGTTATGTATAAGAATTTGTAGCAGCATCTGTCTCCTGCCCAGTTCTCAACTTAAAACAGTAAAAAAATTCCGAATGGCACGAGCCTATGATCACAAATATTGGATTCGCACCCGTTGTTATTTTCTTCTTCTGCTTCTTCTAGAGCTGAGTTGACGGTCAAATCTATGAATAAACATGTTACTTACAAACAGTATTTCATTATTTCGAAGTCTATACGAACCACTATGGTTATTTTCAACAATTGAAAATGTGAATCGTGGCTGCGACTGTAGAATACTTGTTCTATTCGTCTTTACTTTAATCTTAACTTCCTGATTAATTTCAAGTAATTTAGAATAAATTAGTGTGAGTTTATAAACTAGAAGAATGTATAACGTCTTTAGAGTTTTATGTTAATTCTATTGTATCGAGAATATAAATCACTAAGGCACGTAACAATTAGTGATGCTAATTGAGTATAGCGTCTGTCTTTGCTATTACCTTTTTCTGCCAAAATCATGAGTCATCCTTTCGCATACTGACTGAAATGTATCGACAAATTTTTAAAGCATATGAAATAAAACTAAGTAGTGGAAGAAAAGAGAATAGCATTACTCATTTTGTCTCGTTTCGTAACCAAACGTTAGCCATGTATACAAAGAAAAGACGTTTACATCTTACGATTCTCGTTAGGCACATATTCCTTCCTCTTATTTTTTAAGCTACCCGGTTAACTGGGCACTCCAACCGCCCGGTTTACCTGTAGATTAATCTACTTGATAACTTCCCCGTATCTAATGCATTTCATGTCTGGAACTAGCTGAACTGGTCGGTTAATTGCCCGATTAGAGCTAGATCGATCGGTCGGTTAAGTAGGCGGTTAACCTAGCTGATAACCTCCCTGTATTTAATCTATTTGATACCAGAAACTAGCTTAACCGGTCGGTTAAGTGGGCGGTTTGAGCTAGATCAGATAGAGCTAGCTCGATCGGTCGGTTAAGCGGTCGGTTAACCTAGCTTATAACCTCCTCAACCGCCCAAAAGTAGGTTGAACCACCCGATCCTAGGTTAAACTTTTTAAGGTGGATCTAGCTTAACCGGGTCGAAAACCGTATTATCCAGCTCCAATCGCCCGATTCTAGCTCCATTTTTTTTGCTTGGGTACCCGCCTGCAAAAACTTTTGTACTAAACTATAACCGATTCTATTGCTACCACCTGTAATTAAAATGGTTGATGAGTTTAAATTCACTGGTGTAAAATGGTGAGCACGAAGAAACTCAGATACACTCGTTTATAATCTTTAAAGAGAGAATTTATTAAACGTTCATGTGTGCTTATCACATCATCTTAGTGTTACTTCTTATACAATCGCTTCTTTCCACTTCTAAGCATTATTCTCATTGATTTCGCTTTGTGTTATCAAAAATAAAGGTTATTTAGCTACGCTTGAGGGATTACATTAATACCGACGTTTCACTTACTTTTTCTCCCTTACAAGTTTTGTTTGTTGTGGTGAGTAGTAAACCTAACAACAAAGAATATGGATCTAAAAGACACATCTGTTTCCGTCTTGCGTTTGACAGTGGTGTATCATTCTTTATACGAGCAAACTATTTGTAGATATTTAGAGACGACGGGATATTTTCCTCAGTCACGTAAACGAAATCATGTGTCTTGCATTTCTACATGTGTGAGAACTCCGTAATCCATGCTTCTAACCACTTGACTCTTAGAATTTGTTCTACGTGACTCTTGTCAAGCTAATACAGCTCCAATCATACGAGGGAAACTCCGTCACTATGGGACAGTTGCTTTCTTCAGCTTCGAAAAGATCAACTTTGACTCTGGCAACAATAAATTGAATTAAAATTATTTAGCTTATGTCAACAGAACGTGATACAGATGACGACTTTACACTCAAATACCACAATCGAAATTCATTTCACCAAGGTATGTAGAAACCACACATCCGTGAATAGTGCAATCGTTTAAAAATGAACTATTTAGATATTTATTAACAATGAATGGCACAAGAGCATCGAAGGAAAGACATTTTCTGTGATTAATCCAGCTACAGGCGAGGAAATTTGTCAAGTAGAAGAAGGAACAAAAGTAGGAGCCGTAACATATGGTAGGAATTCGTTGCATTAAAGGAGAATGGTCTACAGAGCGATATACATATGTTTATCGTATAAACTGCTCCATAAAGAGTTTAACAGAACCAGGATAATCACTAAACAAAATGGGTTCCAGTTATAGAAAAAACCATCAATAGTAAATTAAATCAGTAATAAAGGCAAACAACAAACACTACATATTGTATCTCCTTTTGTCTTTAAATTTGTGAAACAAACATCAATCTCCTCAACCCATTTTCTTTCACTCGTTTCACTGTATTCTTCTCACTTCTCTCGTCTTTTAATATGTGGAATTAAAACGCAGGCCGAACACTTGCAAGTGTATCCGTACTTTTCCTCTTTATATGCGTAAGTGAGAAAGAATGAAAACATATTAGGCAGAAGAAAATAACTGTGCTAACCTCATTTCTATGTAATATCCTGTACGATCTTGAAGATAGTCGAAACAATAGGCCGAAATCATATCACCGACAAAAAATTTAAGTTCATTTAGAGTTAACGAAAAGTGCACTTGATAACCTGGAAAATCTCCTATTTTTGGCGGTACCCCTCGCTAAAACTAGGAGATTTTCCAGGTTATCAAGTGTGCTGAATACGAAAAAGCACTTTTCTTTAACTCTAAACAAACTTTAGCTTTTTTTTATCGGTGATATGATCGAAATTTACACTGTATTTTAATTTAAAGCTTTCTTAAAAGACATTTTTATTAAAATGCTCCAATCATCTCATGTTCGCCGCAAATGTCTTAAAATATAGTAGAAATGTCCTCCATAGTATAGTTATATTATCGTTTTAGGCTGACATAGACTTAGCCGTTCAAGCAGCACGTCGGGCGTTTGATGATGATAATTCTGAATGGAGAAAACTAGAACCTTCAGCACGTGCATCATTATTAACAAAGTTTGCTGAATATTTGATACGCGACATCGATTATCTAGCCGTAAGTCAGGTCTAATTTCATATGATCTAGAATGGCTAAACATACACCGATGATCTCGTTCTCAGTGCTAGAGAGAAGAACTGGAAATAAATAAGTAGATCGACAGTGAAAGAAACTGTATTGATGCATGTCTAACAATGATGTCACTGCTCTATTCATTATAGAAACTCGAAACACTCAACAGTGGCAAACCAATAATGGATAGTTACACAAATATACACATAGCTGCTGATATTATACGTTATTATGCGGGTTATGTTGATAAATTGACTGGTGAAACACTACAGTCGTGTATAGAATACTAGTGTCTATACTATTTTTAGAATCTGTATTGTTTTCTCTTCTAAGCACCTAATTCATTCTTTTACACACGTCATGAGCCAATTGGTGTATGTGGTCAAATTATACCCGTATGTCTCTGGATGTTTTCACACCATTAACTACTGCAATATCTCATGATGGCTGTTTATCGAATATTTTTGTCTACTCTTCAGGGAAACTTTTTCATGAGCTACGTATGTCTGTAGAGAGTCCAAAGTACTATATCACAATATCACAAACTAAGGTGCTCCATAAACAAATAACTGTATATTCATGGAATATACTCCAAGGGGGAAAAGGCGGCTCCGGGAGCTTTCCGAAGCCCTTGAAATGCTTTCCGGAGCATGAGATGCTCAGTATCGGATGCTGACGATGCTCTGCGATGCACTAAGAAAGAAAAAAGTCGTATTTTGCCCTTTGTTATACTCTCTCCTATCACACTAATAATGCCATGTAAAAATCGTTTTGTGTTTTAGTGGAATGTTCCGATCGTAATGTTAGGTGAGAGCACGTATACAGATATATCTTATTTAGATATTTGTTTGTTTTTGTGAAGCTTTGAAACTTGGTCCAGCACTAGCATGTGGTAATACATGTATCTTGAAACCAGCTGAGCAAACACCGTTAACAGCTTTGTATTGTGCAAGTTTAATAAAAGAAGTATGAAACAAATTTCCATTTTTATTTCAAAGCTGATTGACTTTCTATTCAAGGCCAAATTTCCTAATGGTGTTGTGAATATAGTACCGGGTAATGGTTCAGACTGTGGTCATTCAATGGTTGTTCATAATGGAATTGATAAAATATCTTTTACCGGTTCGCTCGAGGTCATTTTCGTTTTATACTTTTAAGTGTAAAAAGAGAAGTGTTGAACACAATCGATCTTTCTCTTATTTTAGGTTGGAAAACAAATTCAACAAGAAGCTGCTACAAATTTAAAACTAGTTTCTTTAGAACTAGGTGGAAAATCCCCATAGGAATGATTCACCAATGATGTTACATCATCGTTTCTAATAGATGGCAATAATTGACATCTACTGTTTTCTCAATGCAGCTCTACTACTTTGATTTTCGGTTGAACGCATTACTTCTCATGCTATAGACAATGATAAATGTCTCTCATATCCATTAATAGAGATTTAAATCTACTTTTCTGCCTCGGTGCATAGTCAAAATGGTTAAACATCGTTCATCCTGAATAACGACGTCTATCTCTTACATTTGATTACAAAATAAATGTATAAGACCGTTGATTATTTGTGAAGATGCTGATCGTATGTCATTCTATTCATTTACTCCTTTATCGGTACAAAGTGTCATCTCGTGTTTAGTTGAACTGGCTGTGTTGTTAGCACACCATGCTGCATTTGCTAATGCTGGACAAATGTGTTCATGTGGCTCACGAACATTTGTACATGAAAAGATATACGATCAATTTTTAGAAAAAAGTGTATTATTAGCTCAAAAGCGAATTGTTGGAAATCCGTTTGATTCATCCACTCAACAAGGTCCACAAGTGAGGTTTAACAGAAACATGCATATTTATATATTTCTAGTCATGTTTTTATTTTGAAAACTGCACATTAGATTAGTAGAACACAGTTAGAAAAAGTTCTTAGCTATGTAGAATCAGGTAAAAGTCAAGGTGCAACATTAAGTACTGGAGGAGAGTGCACAAATACATCGGGTTATTTTATGCAACCAACAATATTTAGTAACGTCAAAGATGATATGACAATTGCAAAAGAAGAGGTATATAATATCATACATTACAATGCAATGACTTGGTCAATTTATCATTTAGATTTTTGGTCCTGTCATGTGTGTTTTGAAATATAATGATTATGATGAGGTCATTAAACGTGCGAATAATACAGATTTTGGATTAGCTGCGGGTGTTATCACAAAAGATTTAACACGATCATTAAAATTTATTGATAAATTAAAAGCTGGCTCAGTATGGATAAACGATTATCATGCTATGCGTAGTAATGCACCATTTGGAGGTTATAAACAGTCTGGGCATGGAAGAGAAATGTTTGTATTTTGAACAGTAATTTATACAACTAAAAATAAATCGTGGAATTCAATTTTAGGGGCAGTTATGGTTTACGTGAATATTATCAAGTTAAAGCTGTTGCCATTAAACTTGCTTGATGAGTACAAACTGTGCTAAAGCGTATGAGAGAGATCATCTAATACGAACACAATAAAAAGAAAATTTTAATCTTTAACATATGTTTTCGGATATATTATACAACATTTAAAGTTACTTAACAGATGTATTTTATTTTCCAACATTGTTTGTTGATAATAATTTCATAAATAAAAAGATTAATTGTATGAGTTCAACAATCGTTGTCTTAAAACTTTTATTTAAAACAGAAGCTTTCTATTACAACGGGCTCATAAAATAAAGAATATACTTGAAAAGACTTTCCCAACGGCAGAAGTGAGGTTTGGATTTAAAGGTGGTTTACGCGGAAACATATCCAACTGTTACATATCTTTCTCAGCCAAACCCACTGGGTTGTAGGTAATCGACCACGCTGATCCAGAATATGAACATGAGAGCTTCCACTAGGCCTTCAAAGATCCGATTTTCTGAAAAACCAGCTTTCAGAAACTCTAAAAAAGAACGAAAACTTTTCTTAACGAGGCATAATTGCAGCGCGAACATTTCGGATTAAAATGAGATCTCTCCCAGCTCTACATGACCTTTCTTTGCAAAGTTACGGAATTCAAAAGAGAAGCCCTAAATTAGTTTTTTCTTATTTCTGTAAGTTTGAGCTGAAAATTAATATTTAGGGTTTCTCTTGTAAATTCTATAATTTTGCAAAGAAAGGTCATGTAGAGCTGGGAGAGATCTCATTTTAATCCGAAATGTTCGCGCTGCAATTATGCCTCGTTAAGAAAAGTTTTCGTTCTTTTTTAGAGTTTCTGAAAGCTGGTTTTTCAGAAAATCGGATCTTTGAAGGCCTAGTGGAAGCTCTCATGTTCATATTCTGGATCAGCGTGGTCGATTACCTACAACCCAGTGGGTTTGGCTGAAAAAGCGAGATAACAGTTGGATGTGTTTTCTCGTTAGCGTTACGGAAAATGTTCATAAAAAATTATAAAGGCATTGACGATACAAACAGTGGAGTAGTGAAAGCAATATTTCTAATATTTTTCGTCCATGATAATTATATGTATTTATCAGGTGGGAATTTATCAAGAAAATATTGAGATGAATTGTCGGTACTATTAACAATATCACATACTAATAATAATAGTGATTGAAAGAAATTTGAAGCATATGGTTTTAGGTTCGCCGACTTGTAGCCCGATCCGGAGCACATCGAACTATAGCAGTACTGCATATTATTGAGCAGGTAAAATAGAGTAAGGTGCAGACAATTCAAACTTTCAGTAAAAATTTTTTTTTCGAGTTTTTTTACATCATTTGATAGAACTTGAGCTGCTGATCACGAAAAACTACTTTTTAGCCTTAGCAAATACGTCCTTTCAATCGAAAAATACGGAATACTCGAAAGGTGTCGTTTTTCGAGAAAAACACATCTTTTTCGAAATATGCAAAATTTTCTACTTCGCTCTTTTTTCCAGTTTCTGAAAATAACTTTTTCAGATTCAGCATCAAAAACTGAATATAAAAAGGCTGTTTAATTGATACCAGACCCAAAACTCTATCGGTGGTGGCGCGTCGAATCTCGTCGAGCCCACTAGGTATAGGTCGATTTTGTAAACCTATTTGGTTTGTCTACACAAGCATGGAGGCAAATATTTTATCTCATCATCATTATCTCATTCAACTCATCATACCACCAGTCAAAAAGTTACGCATCGCTTTTTTTCTCTTTCCGTTTCTTTCTCGAGGACAATCGTGTTTACTGATACTATAGGATAAAGGGAAAGGTCATTTTTAAATAAAATGCATCTTTTTCATCCAAACTGAGTTAAAATTTGTCCATATAGGTAAAAACTGCTGACAAATCGAATGAACATACTTCTGAGATCTTTAGAGATCCTTCGGAGGATCTCTGGAAATCCCTATGGAAAAAACATCGTTTTCTGATATTAATCGTCACCACCAATAGAGTTTTGGGTCTGGTATCAATTGAATAGCCTTTTTATATTCAGTTTTTGATGCTGAATCTGAAAAAGTTATTTTCAGAAACTGGAAAAAAGAGCGAAGTAGAAAATTTTGCATATTTCGAAAATGATGTGTTTTTCTCGAAAAATGACACCTTTCGAGTATTCCGTATTTTTCGATTGAAAGGACGTATTTGCTAAGGCTAAAAAATAAAACTGATAGATTGCTATCTCACTTTTCAGAGATCCGAGTTGGTTTTCCAAAGATCCTTCTGAGAAACCCATTGAGATCCAATGAAAATTGTCTTTTCTGCCATAGTTCAATGTGCCTCGGACTTGGCTACAGATCGGTCAGAACCGTTTCTCGATATCTCTTCGCATTGCCAAGTTGTTCGAAGAGGCGCTGAGTATCTTATTTTCTGCATCCGATAATAGAATATTTTAAGTAATGCCATCTAGAGTTATATTCACATCTGCGAGAAAAATCAGCAATTTTGATTTCAGTTTATCTAAATTTTCAAAACTAGAACAGTAACACCGAAAACCGAGTACATTATAAAGTTTATTCGGCCATAACCGATGGTCTGTTATTTCGGTTAAGAACCGTAACCGATGCATACCTAATCTGGCGATGATTAGTATGCAAGCCATAATTTCAGATGCTAGTTTTAGCTACTCAAACGTTTTGATTAAATATTTGGTGAATTACATAACAATGCACATGAAATTAAAGCATTAATGATCAAAATAGGTGATTATAGCTAAGCTAAACTATGAATAAATTGTTGAATTATTATGTAGAGCTATTATATTATCCTTAAGGGTAACATTCATTTACAATGGAGTTGTTTCGTGCAATTTTTCTTTGAAACGTCTCGAATGGCTGTTAATGAAACATTAATAATAACAAAATTATTACCAGCTAAAACTGGTCAAGAAAGGTACTAGCCATGTCGAAATTTCGAAAGAAATTTAATGCAAAAAACTGCAGAAATTCGCGTCCGTTGTTTTGCAAAAACTTGTAGTAAAATTTCCATGTCTCACGTAACATCACACGCATGAATTTTCTTCTGCACTTTTCTGCAGGAACAAAAAATTTTACAACACAACGCAAGACAAGATCATCGTTTTTCATGCATCAAACATTACTCACGTAACTATACCTTAAAGCTTCATGTGGTATTCTGAAAACATTATCACGGGCAGGTCCATCGAACCCGCCCATAGGCAACCTTCGTGGCCCTGACTCCGCTGACTTCTCAACCCTCATCCTCACTACTCTCCTCGAAGCTACGAGAAGCAACTTAAAGAAACTTCTTATCTTTCAAATCGTACACAAAAAGTTTCTGTGGGCTCTGTTTTTTCTTCTTCTGTTCGAGTGTCGTCTGGAGTTCCTCAGGGCAGTATTCTTGGCCCGATTTTATTTCTCATATTTATAAATGATCTTGCACCATCTCTTAAATCTTCTCTTCTCTCTTGTCTTTTGCTGATGATGTCTTCTGTGTTACAAACATATTCGAGGCTCAAAAATGTATCAATGAGCTTGTTCTCTGGTGTGATATGAATGAGGTCAAATTAAACATAAACAAATGTCTCTGGATTTTATTT